TTGTACAAATTAACATTTGAGTACATGACAATCTGGCATCTCATGCGTAAATGTCTGTGAGCGTATATGTGTGTGCTTGCGCTCGTCACTCGATTGTAATGTATTACTCTTTGCGTAGGTGCTTAGATAATGATACCACAATACGATTGATGTAACGCTTAACTAAACAATATCATAATATCGTGATTTATACTGCGAGAATTAATCAATCGCATGATATTAATTTGCATTTAATCTAGGTACTTATGATACTGCTCACTGGTATAACTTGATATTTATTTGGTCATACGCGATGGAATGCTTTTGACAGAATGTTTTGTTTGCATAAATATTTAATAGTGCGGACAATATTTTCATTAACGATAATCGAAAATAAAATTAAAAGAATTTTATTTAAAGCTTGTATCTATAATATTAGAAAAATGTTTTGTGATTTCAAAGGCGCATTAATTCAGAATGATAAATCATGATACCGTGCAATACGATTGCACTGTTCTGTTTCCGCAAAACGGAGAATTATACGCAAGAGCAACATGAATATGTGTGAACATGTTTGCGAGTGCACTTTGCATACCATTGCATTATTGCGCACTCCCGCACAATTTGTAATGGAACCTCCACAAATTACGTGCATTTTCAAGTAAATGAGAAACCTCATCGCAAAGATCCAACGATGTATCGTGCATTACATCCGTGTATTTAATCAGGTGTGACGGACCTAGGATTTCCGCAAATATAACATGTGTATATGCTGCGCGTGCACACACGAGTATACTTCGGCAATAGTGTCACGCACGTGAAGTAGCCATCTCCGCGTTTACGTCAACATATATAATGACAACCGGGTCCTTTAAACAAGTGTAGTGAATGACCCTGATCTCGATTTCATTAAGCAGAAGGCATCTATTAAATGATAAAACGATGAGCGAAGCAAAGGCAAACCGAGTTAAAACGTAGAATTGCAGTCATTGATATTGGATTTTATGAAAAATGCATAAAATATATAGTATTTTCGTACATAATAACAATGGAATATGCATTAGATAAGACAAGTATGTAGGCATTGTGTGAAAATGTTAGTTGCAAAAGATAACTGTGCTCTTTTTTGTAAAAATGTACACAGCCCGATGATCGTCAAAGTTACTTACAATCAGCTGTGCGAGCAAATTGCAGCCAGTCAGCGATACATATAAAAATCAATAAAAGGATATTCGCGAGGTGAAATATAATTTTCCGCTATACTTTATACGTTACGTACGCTAAAAAAAGCCTTAACGTCGACAAAAAGTGCAGTGCTTTTAAAGAATAATGTGAACCGATACGTAATACTATGGCTATTTGAAATATTAGCTTCTCTTATAAATTAAAAGAACAAAGAAAAAAAAGGAAAAAGAAATACATCGGTTATGTGTGTGTACATATACGATACTTTCTGACAAATCTTTCTGGATAGTTTTTATCATCATTTTCTTTTCGTATTAGATAAAAAGTTCTTTCCATAAAAAAGATAGATGCATATTGCATAATATAAGTAAAATTTTCTGTTTTTTTTTTTATATTTTTTGACATTTTACGTTTGACCTAGTCTTCGTTTCGCAGGAAATATCCATTAGGAAATAAAATGATGGACGAAGAGTGAGTCACATTGAGTCAAAGCAAAAAGGTAGCCATTAATCTTGAAATGTAGGCAAATGAAATGTGCAAACGTTTACTTGCTAACGTTATTCCGAATTTTTTAACAGAGTTTAACGCTATTTCACGTCACCTAGGTTACTGAAACTTCACGAATAAGCTTCTACATAGACAGTCATGCTGTATGTGTCCCCTGTAAGAATATTTGCATAATTATTACGCTCTACATAATACAGATATACACGTGCACTGAAATTTTAAAATTTGTCACAGCAGTGTTTAATATGATATGACTGACAAAACATCGTAACAATCACAGAAAAAGAAGCATTATTATCTTTGTAAACATGTTGCATGGAGAGCACTGTTTAGCTGTTTACGCAAATGCAATCATATTTTTCTCATAATAGTAGTAAAAATTCAAAAAAATTTTACTAATTGTAAGTAGCATGAGGTAGCAAAGATGAATATTGGAGCGGAAGCTGAAACTCTTGTTGTGTATGCAACCGAATGGAAGTGCAGCGTTGCGCGAAACGTACTCGTTAATGCATCACGGCGGTAAATGATCTCCGCGTGATTGCTTATTTCTTCGGCAAATAGTCTGTCAATTTGCATACTACCCTCAGAGTTGGTTGAATTTATCAAGATAATTTCCAGGTTCCTCCGTAATTACGCGTATAACAGTATACATGTACGAGCGAAAGTAACATAGTTTACCCTGCACAGGTTCGCAAACTCAGGATAATCTACTCGATGTACCGACCGACTAAGATAATCACGAGTGACTTGGATAATTTTGTGAAACGAGACGTGGGCGTAATAAAAAAAGTCATCCAATTTGGAGAATAGAAAAAAGCACACATAAATATCCATTTTAATATACACGTATATATATATTTATTTTTTATTTTGCATGTTCTTAAATCATTAAATAAAAAAATTAAGGGAAAGCTTCATTATATATTTTTTGTCAATTATATCACTCATTTGCTTCATCTATCCGATTTATGTAGACATTCGAGTTTGCGAGCCTCGTATAACACGTACTATATTACCTTCGATCTATTTGCACCCACGCCATGCTTGGTAAAATCTCCTTGAGAAAAATGTGGAGTCTGAGCAAGCACGAAGGAGCGGCTATCCTTTATCTTTACGATCTTCATCGCGTTGCTTTTATTATGCTTTTGCCGCACTTTTCTGTCCGTTATTTTTCGATGTTACAAATGCGCGGGTACACATGTTAAAGAAAGAATAGAATAGCAAATTTTGACCTTTGAATAATCCAAATAGGTAAGATAATCGTGATAGATATCGCATATCATGAATTTTACGCTACTCGTATGGTATATAACTTATGACCATGGCTATTAATGTGAAAAGCCCTACAAATTTTATGACATGACAATAATATTATTATGGATAATAGTAAAAATTTCTGGTATTTATTCGAGATTATTATTCCGCTGCTTTATAATACTTACATTTCTCGCCGATACAATCGACATGATACAAAATGTTTAAGCGACACGTTGGAGAATCCGTTTTTCACGCACCAGTGGTAAAATGATCCGAGAAATTCGAGGAGATGCTTCATCACTGTCCGAACGAGGTAAAGAGAGTATGCTGGTAACGAAAAACCTTTTGATCTGCGTGTGAATTGGAACACACGGGAACACTTTAATGTAAGCCAGTGAAATCAGTTTAATGTAAGCTTTATTAGATTACATCAACTGCTGATTAGATTTAATTGACTGCTGTCTACTATCGTAGTCGGAATTAATAGACGTATTTGCATATTTTCCTGAAACGAGCTGCAGTCGCGGCACGTCGAAAGTATAAATACACATCTGTCTCGATACGTTTGATATGTTTGAGTTGTAATTTTCTGCAATTTTCGCACGTACCATTCCACGCGCATACTAAATGTGCAATTGCGCTTTAGTAGTAGTTATCAAGAATTCATAATGCCTTGGTCACTGGGGATGAATATCGACGAATTGCCTAATTCCAGGAAACTGTTTCGAGACTAAAATTAATTATTCGACTATCTTTCCTTCATTAATCACATTTTGAAGCTTGAATTAGCGAGGAAATTATTAGTCGAATGTGCAAATTGCCAAAGTTAAATTTGTCTGTCTTTTTGATTTATGAAATAATTTTTGAAGCTTAAATTAGCGAGAAAATTATTAGTCGAATGTGTGCAAATTGCCAAAGTTAAATTTGTCTGTCTTTTTGATTTATGAAATAATAGAGAAGGTAGAATTATTGAAATAATTTCGTTCTAATAAAAATATATACGACGATAACATTTTGATGTATTATGTAAGAGTCGCGCGATTCCATGAATGAGATAAATATAAAATCGGTGGATATTGTTTAATAAATAAACATGTTCGAGAATTACCATCAATATAAACGGAAGACGAGATGCTGCCTGGAGCTCTTAACGCGTGTACTTCAATATATTCGAGTAGCTGCTTTATGAATATTCAAAGCTGTTATAGAATATTAATGTCGTAGACGAAATGAAAATATTGTTTCGCACGTGAAGTGTTTGTTAATTTCATGATTAAATGTCTGAACAATGCGCAATGCTTGTGCAAAGATTATGGAAGATAAACCGAGACTTTGGCGAACTGTTCAATAAGCTGGAGTTAAGTCAATCTGTTGTCGATTGAATGCGTTGCGAAAAAGATTGTTTATCAATCTCGAGAGTAAGAATAAAATAAAGTTTAGTTGATAAAACCATTTGCACAATGTCTATGTCTATCTATATCTATGTCTATGTATATCCTTTTGAAACGATCGTTTACACCTACAGGGACACACCAAGTTTTTTCTTACAATTTGCAATAATATAATATAATATATTCATCAGCGAACGATATGCTTGCGCTTCTATAAACACTTCTTTCCTTATAAATTGAATAATATATCAGCGTTATTCTCTTCATTCTGAGATGCAAAGCTTAATCTGTAAATTCTATTTGATGCCTCGGGAGTCAACAGATTATGCATAATTCAATTTTGCATTAAAGATACATTGCGTCATCACTAGCTGGGATTAAAGAGTGTAAAGGCAATGTATCAAAATTAATTTCAAGACAAAAGAGAATAATAAAAGAAAAAGCTCATGTAAAGATAAGAATCAATTTTGCGAATCGTGTCAACGAATTCTTTATGTCATGCATCACCATGACAAATTGGTCCGTTGAATGAGATAGCTTTGAGTCTAGTTTAAAAAAAAAAAAAAAAAAACGGTTTGAAAGAAATTTTCCATGCTTTCCATCTAAGATTTTTCCGCCTTTCTCTCATCGAAAAGCGAAAGCCATCGGCCGACCGGCTAAATTAACGGGCCAACCACTCACCTTTTCTCTTTTCGCTGCTGCTTTTTCTTTTTGAATGCTTTCTTTACTCGCAGAAGCAAAAAAGCGGCACGATCGATGGTTAGGCCTGGTGAAGCCTTGTCGCCGCTCGACATTCTGCGCCCTAATCCTCCCAACACCTGTAGACATAATAAATAATTTGTAATTTGTACAATTCATAAAGAGTATGTCTCGATGTGATTGCTAGCTCTTAAAATTATTTTAGATCGTAAATAATGGAAAGAGAATTTTTCGGCAGAGAAAGAGAATATTTTCGCAAAGTCAAACAAGTAAGCCGATCCCTTTGATTTTGATTATCGCCGTTTCATCGGATGCAAGAATATGTTCAATCGTAACGATGCACAACTCGCACAGCTAAATCTCACGGGTAAACACACGAATCAATTATTGGTCCTGTATCTCAATCACTGAACATTTCAGCAATAAATTCAGAATTATTTGGGACTGTTAGCTTCCCGCTGCCACTGTTCGTTCCAGTAATCCATCTATTTGTCCGCGTTAACGCGCTTCGCCGCACACGCCTAATTCGATTAGAGACGTGCCGACTCTTCGAGTTTGCCGAGTTAAAGGAATCAGTCAAGTCGCAATTTTATCGTAATTCACGCGAAATAACGCGATATTTAATCGTTTAAATTCCATCGAAATATATCGCAGTAATGTATTAGAATGCTATTGTCATTAAAAAAATATTTTTTACAAGTAAAAGAATCCTTGTTTGCCAAACCTGATACAAGTCCCTTTAATTTAATCCAGCTGACGCGAGTATGGTATGATTTATTTGTATCATATAAGAGAATTCTAATGAACGAAAGAGCATCGTGCGCGCATATTGTTTATTATCGTGATTGATATAATTCACATTTTCTTAGTATTAAGTTGAACAAATTTTTTGCAATAAGGTTGGATCCGTTATATAAGCTCGTTTCTGTGCTGAAAGGGCTAAATTCCATTACAGGATCCGTTGCGATTCATCGATCTATCACCGGATCAAAGTGGATTGATTAGGTAACACATAACAAGCTCTGATGCTCAAAGCTGCCTTTATATTAAAACACATGCATAACCGGATTAAAATTAGACAAAATTTGCATTTAGTTGAAAATTATAAACGTGTGGGTAGTACTCTATTGATTATTCGTTAAATTAATATTAATATACAAAGAATTTATAACATTACTATTTTGTCTCGCACGACGTCAACTCTCGTCACAATCAAAATGTCATATAATGATAAACAATTAATTTTAAAAAATGAATAATTTCATTATTTATAATCGAAAAATGGTTTTCACGTTGTGTTTTAGAGAAAACATTATGAAAAGTATAAAAATGTATATTGTTCTTACACATCAATACGATTTCTGCTGTCTACTGACGCACAAGAAGATCGCTTTTACTTTTTTACCGCAAACAACGACACAAATAATATATCGGGATGTCGCCACTTTAAGTCCTATTTATCGTTTGAAGAATTTCTAATATTAACTTTCGTATCGGCGTTACGAGATTTTCCGATATGGACGTTAACATTGCACATAAAGTTTTATTCAACCTGCTTACTGTCCAATAATCGTAAATATTTTAAACGCTCTCTTATATTAGCACATTTACATTTGTATATAATTTTAAATCGATAACTTTGGGGAATAGGTCGAAATAAATCGTCGAGCTGTGTATACCCGATAGTATTGACAAGAAGTTATAGCTTGCGGACAATGATTGATGTTGTGACTCTTTGGTTTTTTTTTTTTTTTTTTTTTTTTTTTTTTTTTTTTTTTTTTTTTTTTTTTTTTTTTTTTTTTTTTTTTTT